CTCTGGCCCCTAATGGCTTGTTTGTTTCTTAGGACATGGAAGTTCTATCCCAGGAAATTGTGCGGCTCAGCAAGGAGTGCGTGGGGTCTCCTGAGCCAGACCTACAACCAGGAGAATCCAGCTAAAGACCTGCAGGCTGCCTCCACTCCCATGCCTCCTCTCCCCTCCCCCTGAACACTATTCATTTGGGCTAAAGTGGGGAAATGGGGGCTGGCACCAAAATCAAATAGGTTGGGACACTGGACATTAAAGGGGCTAGAGGCCTGATGGCTGGTTGTTAGTGACCCTGTCATAGGACAGTGGTCCCTGGGGTGTGAGGACCCTGAGGGGAGTGGCAGGGGTTCCCAGGGGGATTTGCCTTCATCTCTGCATGAGTTCTCCCTCCCAGAGACCAACTGTTTTTTATTTTATTTTATTTTTAATTTATGTCTGGAAGCCTGGCTACTCTGCATTTGGGATTGGGGATGTTGGGTGGGGTGTGGTCCATGTTCAACATTCTAGAAACGTGTGTGTGTGTGTGTGTGTGTGTGTGTGTGCACGCACGTGCGTGCATGTGTGCGTGTGTGCGTGTGTGCGTGTAAAGGTTGTGCAGCCAAAATACCATCTGGCCAGACGGGCCCATGCACTGACTGACTGCTCTCATTCTTTCCAACCAGTAGGAGGGATGTACTGGGCGGAGGGGGTGGTGAGGTCACACCACTAGAATCAGCGGGAAGTCTCTGGCCACAACTTTATTCTCCTTCCCCCACCCTCACCCAGCCTGTCTCCAGTTACTGTGGACTAGCCCCTCAAACTGAATGGAACAGAAATATCTGCAGATATATATGTGAATAGATGTGTATGGCATGTAGGTCTGGATTAGACAGATGGGAGGATAGGTAAGTAGATGAACTGATGGATAAATAAGTAGAAGGTTGGATGATGGATAGACTGGGCAGTAAATGGACAGATGGATAAATAGGTGATTGGATGAATAAATGGATTGGTAGGTGAATAGGTAGAGGATGGGCAGGTGGGGATTGTAAGTGGACAGATAGATGGCTAGGGGGAATATCTGGATGGACAAGTGGGCAGATCGATGAATGAGCTAATGAACAGGAAGAGAA